GGACACAGAAGGCTTGTTCGGTGGGACCCTGTACCTAGGCATGTCACCATACTCCCTGGTCTACGCACGAACTGCTAATATCTCTCGATAACAAGAAAAGGGATTCATTTGAACCCCACTGCGTGAGAGTGCCATCGAGGTCGCATTAAGAAGGAGCCATTGCAATCTGACCCAGTCTCCCAGTCGGCCACTCCAAACGAATATGCATTGGGGTGGCTGCGAGGCCCGAGATATCGCACCAGTTGGAAAGTCACCGTTTTTAGTGCACCGTGATAAATTCTGACGTGCCAGATTTTTTATAATGAGGAAAATTCGCTGAGAGAGTCGAGTTCGTTTTCTCTGCCCTTTCCCACGCGCAAGTTGATTGTCCAAGCCGGTCAACCCACAGCTGATGAAGGTGGACTAGGTAGCTGACAAAACTTAGAACAGTCCGTCCGTGCGTGCCATACAGATGACCTGCCCACCTACACAAAACATAAAGATTTCACACAGGGTAGTGAACTACCCCGATCACACAAGAGGTTGAGGGAGCCGAAGAACACACTTTTCACGTATGCGAGCGGTACCAAGGTTCTGCTTCTGTGGTCGATGTTGAACCTGCTCATGTGGGAGGTAGCTGCTGTTGAGGATGCATAGCCTGCACTGTTCTATCGCAGATTTCCATGGAAGCGCATGTGAACGAATAGAACCCTGTGGAGACCGAATTGTGTGAGCAGTTGAAACACGGGCAATGGGTGTCTGTTGGTGCTCCTGATACTGGTGCGCCGGTCTCGGTACGATAGAGTCGCAGTTGACCGAACAGGCCGATGAATGAGGGAAATATGCAATCACAACGAGAGCAGGTTGTGGTCTGGGTCACATTGCTGATGGTGGGGACGCTACAGGTAATGGTTGACGGAGCCTACTCTTTGTTACTTCGTTAAACACTTCCTTTGTTTTTTTTATGGCTCTTAGAGGCCCAATTAAAAAGTGCTTCATCAGCGTAGTTGCATCACTCCGCCTACGGTGAACTACAGTGGTGACTCTTTATTAATGCAAGATAGTTTACATGGAAAGACCTTGTGTCGATATATTCTGACTATAGGATGGCAATGAGTATCCCCATTTTTCCTTGGAGTTCATGTGTAGAGATCAGTGGTCAAATCTAGCATGCAACCTGCGGTTAGGACACGGATGAAAATGAATAAAAAAGGTGACCAGAAAATGAATTTTCGGTGTTGTCTTTTTTAGTATGACTTTCCAAAGCACACTATCGTATTTGTTGTACTGATTGAGCAAACGGGTTAGTCAGTCTTGGAATGTTCATGCAACTACACAACTTTTCTTTTACATTTAAAAAACGAATTGAGATAATATTTCAACCACTAGTCCATTTCCAAGATCCCGCGGTTTTTATTTAAACTGGGCTGATGCCTGTCTGTATGCTCTGTCACTATCCAATATGATTCATTAAAACCAGTAGGCTTTTGTAGTTCCTTTGGAAATTGTAGAATGAAGTATGGGTAAAAAACTGGAGATGGGACTTTTTAAGTTCTACGGGCATATGCCTGAAACCATCTAGGGAAAATTGGGTGAGCCCAGGAGTGGTCCTGATCCTAGATATCAGATACCACGTGCTTGAGTTTGTGTCGAAATGTTTACTCACCTCGTGTTGCTTGATTACTATAGCCCAAACGGCGACCTAAAGCTTTTGGAAGATAATCTCGTGGAAAGGGTGAGTTTCCGTGTTTTCCAACTGTCATGATTATATGACGTGATATCTCAATTATATTTTGGGCCGCTTTAGCGTATTCCTTCAAAATCACACCATATATTTGGCAAAAGGAGGCAGTAAATACAGTTTCCTCTACCATCCTTATACTTTTTAGTCCACAGAAAAAATTCGGGGAATAAACCCTATCTTTCGACGACGCAGGTTACTTGTGGAGCCGAAACCCTGGAAGACATTTGATAGGCCTGCTTCCGAGGAAAACTATACGAAGACTCGTAATTTGGATATGTACCAGGGGCTTCACAGTCCAAAGACAACAAGCACTCCAAAGTCCCAAGCAGCAGACGTTTCACGCACCGCCCCGTGTTGCGAAAAAGCCCTTCAAAATAATGCAGACAATTACCAGGCGGATTCCTTTACAGACTGGGAGCAGCTCACGGTGGAGACAACCAAACTCTTGACAACCCTGATTGGAAAAATCCAGGTTAGATTAACAGAACCGTATTTGTGGGTTGTAATCTTATTTTAATGCTTCAGGCCAACTCTGCCCTAGCAGAGGTTTATCGTACGTATTAAAACAAGTACACGAATATCTTACTCTCCGACAAAATGCATAGAACCGTACAATTTTTAAATATGTATTTAATTAGCAGCTAATTGGAACACGGATTGATACATTTGCTCGTCCATGGATTCAGCGGAACTAAAATCCCAGAATTACTCAGTCGAGCAAAGTAGCCTGTAATAAAAAACACCGTTTTTTTCTCACGTTAGATCCCAAAACATTAGATTTCTATAAGGAAGGAACGTCTAGAGCCTCCAGCGAAGATTCACTCCCTAACCTTTGACTGGGCAGCTTAATTTCTTTCCAAGCTCGGTAATAACCGAACCAGAGGGAATTCTGACTGGGTTTCTGTTTAGTAACAAGCGCATGAGAATCTAACGTCGCATATTTGCTATCCTTTTCATGGCTTATTCTTATGCAACTCTTGATGTTCTACGCCACCGAAAGCCAACGCACTTATCGCAGGGTGTTAAGTAAGTTAAACCCTAGCAACTGCGATTTTCAGATGGTTACTTAGGATAGAAGAAGTCTTGGAATGGTCTGAGTGTTAGGAACAGTATATTACGTACACAGAGCAACGAGGAATAGATGGAAAGAAGTTTGACTACGGAGAGCACGAATTTCCTCGGGAGCGGCGTGATCCGAAGTGAGGCATAGTTGCAGGAAATTCCCGCGGGCCAGATAGCAAACTTTCACGCGTGCAGGCTTGCTATTCGTCGCCGGTCTAGAAGTTATCAATGCGGCAACTGTGATTGGCTGTTCCCAGACATCGAGAACCGCATCGGTGGGCCTTTGGGAAAATTCCCTTCGACACGAGTTAGTCACAACACTAATTATGAGAGTTTTAGGTGTAACTGTGCAAACCAAAAAAGATGGGCATATTAAGTGCGATCTTGAAGCATTTAGCCTAAAAAGATAAAAATGTGAACTATTATTGTTATCATATAACGAGGGCTAGTTCAGAAATGGTTTCAATAAAACAATTCTCGAAACCGCAGACATTGATATTTAGTCATCAGTGGATGGCAGATGAAGTCGGGAAATGACTTATGAAGAAGACTCTTAGATATACAGTAGTCGCCGGCCCGAGGTGGGCTTAATGGCCGGCGACTACTGTATTTTTAAACCTTATGTATTTTCTTCTTGGAGAGCTTTGCATCTGTTCCCCTGTGCTTCGAAGCTTGTTTTCCGATAACTTGAACTTCTCCAGAGTGGAATTCGGAGGGCTTATTGAACACGAGCGATTGTCGATATAATTTTTCGCACTAAATGCTTTTCAACCTAAACTATGCTCTCGTTAGTTTACTGAGTTAAAAAGAAGAATGCATATCCTCTTTTATCTAAAGATAACAACACTTTGAATATTTATAATAACACTGTCGTGGCTACTCTGTTACCAGACCCGGATTTGGCTTGTGGTTTCGATGACGTGGACCGTCATTTGATCGGCTACTGTAGCTTTCCAATCCTACGGACCCCGTACAAGGCCATTCGCCAGATTATTTACAATAATAGTCGTCAATTCTTCCAGTATTCTCATCTGTACTATGAAAAAAGCACAGGGCAACCATTTAACTATCATTTGCTCGATTTCAAGATTTAAAAGGTAGTTGTTGAGCACCCAGTAAGCTTGGAGTTCTCCTGTGGTATATCTGATTTGTCGTCGTTCTTGAACATCCCTGCCATCTGTTACAGCCAGCGATGCTGAATTATAATTCACAACAAAGTACACCATTTACGGAATGTAATCACCAGACCCGTCCAGGGGAGGCCAGCAACAGTTCACAAGTGCGAGTTGTGTCAGACTGGGCACTAAATACAGGGGAACAAGCCGAATTACTTGATGCCATGCCAGTCGAAAACTCTGCTAACGTCCCCCATCAGACAACCAACCTGGAGTCGCACTCCAGACCAGAGGACCCTACAAAGGCCCTAACAACCTCTGAAGTAAGTTTATCTTTGAAATTTGTTTGCATTTCGCATTTTTGTGGCATATAATGTTGGACTTCTGTTACAGTATTTCCATAAAAGTTAAGGTGATGCATTAAAATGGCGCTCCTTATATAGAAACTATTACTTTTGGTCAAGCAGTAGTTGGATCTAAGCGCTGTGATACTGTTAACTGCGAAGTCGATGTATCACTAAGGTAATAGGACATTGTTATAACCATCGAGGTGACTCTCAAAACGTTCTGGTGGTTTTCCCAGAATACCCACTATGCTTTACTGCAACAGTTATTAACATGATTCGTTGACTTTTAAACCTGAAGACCGCTCAATGAAATGTCAAAGAATAAGCAGTCAGCTGGTAAACACACATTTTCTGTAACAGCCTTCAGGATTTTGCGTTTTTTAGCATCATGCAATGAAAGAGGTGAAATCGAGTTAGCAAAGATTGGTAGACGTATCGCCACATACGCAGGGATTAAGTATGTTAAACCCTAGCAACTGCGATCTTCAGACCATGGTTCTTTAGGAGAGAAGAAGTCGGTGGAGGCAAGAATAGAAGGAACAGTATATTGTGTACACAGAGGAACGGAGAATAGATGGAAAGAGATTTGACTTAGGAGCATACGACTGGCCAGGAGGGCCAGCCGGGTCCGAGTGCCAGTTTGACAGCAGTCAGGCTAAAGGACAGAGAACGCATTCACGCGTGCAGGCTTGCAAGTCGTCACCGGGCCAAAAATCAATTTTGCGGCGACTGTGATTGGCTGTTCCCAGACGTCGAGACCAACTTCTGTGGGTCTTCGGGAAAGTTTACTTCGACACGAGCTAGTCACTAAAGACGCAGATCCAAACGATTAATACAACCTTGAAAACCGTTGTAACCGTTAACTTCCGTAGTTTATGGCTGACGGATGTCAGATATGTAAACAGGCAGCAACCGTTCATATGTAACTGATCGTAATATACATCAATAGCATAGAGGAAAAAATTTCAATAAGTGAATAAAATTGTGCGTTTGGTTTTATCTAAACCTCGTGAAAATCAGACAGCTGTCAAAATTCAACCAGCAAAATCAGTCGGTTGTTAGGATTCTGGTGCTCGTTTAAGTTAACTGTAATTCCAAAGAAGATCATGCACGCAGCATGCTCACTTCGGAAATGGCGGACAACCTCCCGTCTCGGTAAGGATGACTCGTATAGCCTCCTAAAGAGAACATGGGAATAGGAGCGCCCGACCACTTAACCTAGCCGGCCTTGCGATCAATTTCAGGAAGGGTACATATTCCCGTATCTTAAGCCTAACACTAACCCTACCATAAGCCTAAACTGTAGTCGTAATCTTAACCCTAGTCCTAAGCTAAACCTAAATCCTGCAGTTAATTCGAATGCAAACCCTAACTCTTAAGATGCTCCTGACCCTAACTCCCGAGCGGATCAGAATCCGAAGTGTAGGCCTGGCGGCAGTTATCCCAATGGCCACAGAAAAAGGTCGTGGTCTGCGTCAGCCTTTAAAGGTGATTTACCGGACCGAGAGAAGCCAACATGTGCGCACCTATTTAGTGGCCGCATGAGACAGACACGCGACTGACTCCAGGGGCACGTCGCGAACTGGAATCACGTGACCTCATGCATGGCGAGGCATGGGAGGTCGCTACAATACCATGCCCCCATGTGCGATATATGTTACGAGATGCGTGATCCGGCTAATGCTTGTCGTGCCCTAATCTGACCCCTTCGTCGGTCCAGCGCATCTCTCGCGTGTCTTGTTGTAGGGTGTGTGTGTGTAGTATGGCCATCGGTTTCGATGAAGTCCATCATGTGCTCAAGAGCAGAGACGATGATAGGAGCTAAGTACGAGATTTTAGTGAAATAGACGCGCAACTGTCTACCTCACTCTAACCCCAACCGCTTTAACCGGTGACAGGACCAAAGTCGAGATGACCAAGGCAGGCTTTGGGTGGAAGCCGCTTTCTCCATTGCAGCCTGAAACAATGCCTAACTTAGCCTTTAGTGACAGTAGACTTTGCGAGGGTACTACTGCACTGTCTGCCCTCACTCACCTATAGTAGGTGTCTAGCCAG